CTGCCGCCACCCCCACGAGGGCGCCGCGGATGCGACGGACGGAGGGAGAGAGGGAGGAGGAGGAGGAGGAGGAGGAGGAGGAGGAGGAGGAGGAGGAGGAAGGAGAAAGAGAGCAAGGAGGAGGGAGGTTGGCTGGGTGGTTGGTTTCCTGGGGGGGTGGGGGGCTGACCCGCGGACGCCGTTCCGTTGTGGCCACCCCGGGGGGGGGAGAGACAGAGGGAGGAAGGGAGGAACGAGGAGGAGGAACGAGGAGGAGGAGGCGGAGGAGGAGGCAACGGATTCCTAACTTACGATTATTTGCGCAGCTCGAGTAATTACCCCAACAACGCTTGCAATTAAGAGGTATTACTTGTGTTTGATGTGATTGGATGGGTGGGTCAAGGTACGTGCCCTCCCGTATTCGCCTAGCGGACTTCCTATTCGCCAACTGGGCAGGTCGGGGATTCAACTCGTGGTTGCCCAGTGCACTGGCTGGCTCGGCCGGAAATTTGCCGCGTGCATCCCCTTTGGGCGCGTCGGGTGTTTGCCCTGCGTTGATTGCACCACGCTGATGCCATTTAGCCGTTGCACGACTAAACTTGCGCCACAAAGTTTGCACAACGTAGATTGCACCACATAACTTACGCCAAATAGTTTGCACACTACTGTTTGCACCACATCTTTGCACCAGGTAATCTCCTCATCGCAGCTTGCAAAAATTCGCTTACACGGCAAAGAACTTGCACGGCGTAGCTATCACCACATAGCTCACGCCACATAGCGCACACCGCACAAATTGCGCCGTGCGTGCAACACCGAAATTGCGCCACTGAATAAAAAACATGTCAAACATGCAATACGCCAACATGTGGGACCAACGCTAGCAACCACAACTTTGTTAATCATGGCGGGGCGCAACGTAATATGACCAACCCCGTCAGCCCGCGACGGGGTCCGTCGTGGCGGGCGCCCGAGACATATTTCGTCGGACTGGACAACAAGAAGGTGTTACAAACATCAAGCCGCGGCTGGACACGGACAGATGCACTTAACCGAAGAACTTCGCATACCCCCACGGATGCAAACATGGAGGGGCACTACAATCATCGCACTTCCATAAAGAACGATGAATAGGGAACGACCAGTTTCTTCTGGCCACGGCGAGCATCAGCCACGAACAACTTCCCCGACCCATATCCAAGGAACGGCCCGAAAACCAGGACCCTTACTGAGCACGAAATTGTCCTTAATTTAGCATTTTGGCTGCAACGCCCGGCTCGAAGGGTAGCTGGCCCCAGCGCGCACAGGCACAGGATTCACCACACTGTTGCTCACCCGCCACCTGAGAGCCTTTCAATGGGGCACGAAACGAGCAAGGGATGCGACAATGTGGGCCCGGGATCGCACGCAAACGCGCCCGCTGGCGTCGTGGCAACAACTGCATATATACATATATAGGTCAATACAGCACGTCGCGCGCGAGGGGCGCGCAGAATTGGGCGGGGGGGGGGGGGGGGCGCGTGCAAAAATGCACGCTGGGGTTAAGGAGGATCTCCACAAGGGGTACGCCACGTGCGCGGGGCGAGCCGAACTGGGCGCGCGGGCCCAGCCCCCGATGCGCTCGCCCATCGGGCACGATCCGTGCGGGGGGTGCCGAACTGGCCGGAGAAACCGCACGCGGACGTGGCGCTGGGGACGTAGGTGGACATCCTGAATAACGTGGCCGCAAGTTCCCAGGCGGGGCTAGCTGTCAGGGGCCATCGGCGATGAATGAACGACATGGGGGTCAACGCTTTCCCCTCTGAGCCTATCCCAAACGTTGCCATTGATCCCCCCCGTCGCGACAGCCGCGCTACACTTTGGCGATCGGCTGCTGGATCTGCCAAGGCACTGCCGAAACGTGACACACACACACACACACACACACACACACACGCACCACTCCAGTTACTAACTGGTGGCAGCCCGGCCGCACATCACCCGGGTCAGCTGGGCGGTCAGCGCGGCGCCCAGGGAAAGGACGTCGATGTCCGCCGCTGCGGAGGCGACCGCGCGCCCCAGGACTGCCCTCCAGTGCGGCACAGGCACTGGGCGCCATTGCGCCAGATGCCCCGCCGTCAACATGACAGCGGGCTGCCCGACACCCTGCCTCCACAACAAACAGGGCTGACGAAAGGGGAGGACAACAAACGAAGGCAACCACACGTGAACCCTACACTTGCAGGTCAGGGCTCTGAAAAACCAGCAAGCGTTCAGAGTTTGAAGGACTCTGCAAGCAAGTGACCCCCGGCACAACAGATGCCTGCAGACGCAGCCCCGTTCTAGAGGCACTCTTCCTCGGCCACTCCTACGTATCCCTACAGCGCGTGAAGCACAGCCAATATCGAAAAAAAAACTCGAAGTGATAGCAATCGCCTCAAGGACGAACATAAGCAGTGCTGCCAGCATTCCACCTCGTGAACGGCCTTCACAACCCCTCCCCTGGCGGGTGGCGCACCACAACCACCCCCGCCACCGCCACCGAACAGAGCTGCCCAAATGTGCCCACCGGCTTGGGCAAGAAAGGCGAAGGCAAGGCTGAGCAGCGCCGCGAAAGGGAGAGGAGGAGGAGGAGGAACAGGAGGATTAGGAAGATGATGAGAAGGATAAGGAGGAGGAAAATGACGACGACGACGACGACGATGACGACGAGGCACGCAAGGGTAGAAGACGACGCATTTACAATCGACCAGAGCAAGGACAACCAAATGCGGCCACTATGTTCCGACGTGGGCACCTACAAACCGGCACTGCCAATGACACCAGGGTGCCAGGAATCACGCGGAGACCAATCTTCAGTAGGCGAACCAACGAGCGAAACCTTCGCCTGTGCAGAAGAACCAGAGGGTGCCTCTCCCCAATTGAACTTTGGCGGGTGAAAACTGGAAGCGGCGCGCGTTGGGTCCCGCAACGGCACGAGCGGCCACTACTAGAAATTCAACACAACACGAGGCTCCAAGTCCAGCAACCCCAACCGAACCCGAAGGAAGGGGAGGAGGCCGAATTGGGGGCACTTCCCGGGTTCCATCTGCCGATCCACTTATAACGAGGCCCAGACCGCCCAAAGGCCCAAACCAACGTCTGGGGGGCGGAGGGCGTCAGCCTGGAGCAGAAAACACCGCCAGAGGGGGGGCGAGGCTCCAAGGCTACACCGAGCGGAGGCCAGGGTCGGCCGCGCACTGCCAACCCGACCCCCCCCCCCCCTCGCACCGAGCCCCGCAGCCGCCACGGGTGGAGGGCCAGCGGGGCCGCGCGCGCGCGCCAGGTCAGCGGCGCGCCGCCCAGAGGCCCCGCGGGGCCGAGCGCCTCCAGCGCGGGGCGGCGGCAAGGCAAAGCCTGAAGACATCAGCCGGGGATCTCCAAGGAAACACACCACGGCTGGATTGGGGCTCCACTCTTTGGCTCGACCCCTCTCGCCAGCCTAGTGACACAGAAACGAATGTGAGCCAAGGTTGTAGGATTCTTCGGAGGTCCTGAGCACGGGATTTCCAACTTCTTAATAGACTTGCCGATGCGCGAACTGTAGCAACCACGCGTTTCACAAACGCCCGCGGGGGCCCAACGAACAACGCGGCGGCCGCCACCCACGACCAAGCCCCCTGGACACTTGGAAGCAAAACAGCTCACGCACCTAATCAACGATTCATGGACCTGTCCACAGTTGTGCTCAGCAAGCGACACCTTCGGGACTCACGAGGCACATGTCTTCCGGGAGGCCTGAGGGGCCATGTCCTGCGACTTGCGATGCATCCGTGCCGCCGTGGACACCTGGACAGCCAACTACTTCGTGGTGTGACAAGATCGCCTCAGCAGTTCCTTGTGGTTCTCCACCAGCACATTGGCAACCAGCATGTCCACCGCCCCAGCATCTGCAAACAGATCCGCCCACGCATGTCAAACCGCATGCGCCAGACAGCCTCGACCGTCAACGAAAACGCACGGGCCCTTGCGGCCAGGTATCAATACCAAACAAAACTGCAACTCTCAAAGTCGATACTGCACAGCTCGAAAATGGATCTCCTGAAAATTGCATGCGTGGATGATGATCTCGAGAGGACATGTCCCACGCAATCCCTCCCCACCCCCCCACGAGACCAGGATAATCAGAAACCACCAGGCCCGGCCCCCCCATTGATCTAAGCGCAATCAATCCAGCACATCTTCCGCCCATAGGAACTGACTGTTTCCAACCAGGGAGACCTCCGCATTTTGCTCTGACAGGCCATCCAGCGAACGGTCCAGCTGCACCACTGCCCAGCCAACTCCGCATCGAGTCGGGCGGGCTTCGTGCAAGCCCGACGCGTCGCAATACGTCGCAATAGTCCATTCACCCGAGCATTCACCCCGCTCATGCACAACAGACGAGTCCGACGGTGGCCTGGGCTGTAATGGTCTCTGAGGGGCACCGTAGGTGACCTCGAACGTTTCACAGCCACCGCCGTTCTCGACCACGAGCTTCTCGCGCCCAGCACGAAACTTGAACACTCATTCAGGGAGCTCTTTTGGTAGCAGCTCCGTCTTCTCCAGCAGCTCTGGGCATGCATCCCATTGGTGCGCCAACGTTCTTGTCGGCGCTTGACAGTGAATACAGTGTCTTGATGTCGTCAGATCGAGCTCGAACGCTCTATCTGGGCACAGCAACCCCCCCGACCACAAGCGACGGATAGATCCGCTGAGCGGCCCAGGCGGAAGCCTAAAAATAACTCCGCGCATCGCCCTTCTCCAGATCTGCGCATCGCCTATCCCCGCGTGAAAATGCCGCAACACTCCCCCCACCTGCCAGCTGTAGATAGATGGAATCAACCTCTCCCCAATACCTTTTGGGCCCGACCTGCAGCGAGGAATGGCCACATCCACGGTCATCTCTGAACACGAGCGGGCCAGGCACACCCCAACCCAATCTCCACAGCGCGAGCCACACAGCGGCCACAGGGCCTCTAGCATTCTGCCACGTCGGCCGCGCATTTGAAAATCTCTCCGCG